GTTAAATACATGAATGCAATTTGTTATTATATTTATTATCAAAACCATTTATTAGTAAAATTTATTATAATATTAACTGTAATATATTATAATTGTCAAATACCTCTATAAAAGTGGCATTATATCTAATATTTTATAAACAACTGTATTTAGTAGAGGATTATAAACTATATGTCTACTTACTTTTTATAAAGAAATCTCTTATACTTATTTGGACTTGAAAATATTTTTAAGGTATGATAATAAAATTTTAAAATAAATTTACAGTTGATTAGTCATTTTGAACTCGGCTAATTACAATATTAAATTTGTTAATTTTCAAATAATATATGATTATATTTATTTAATTAGGGTTAAATAATAATTTAAATAATAAAAGTCAATTAAACTTCAACTGTTAAAGCTAAATTAAATTTAGTGAGTTATTGATATTATATTTATAAAACAGAATTTGATTACAAGCTGACATAGTGAAAATATAATTTATATGTATTAATCTAATCTAATAATTAAAATAATATTCATTTAATAAAAATTTAAATAGTGTTATTAATTTCTAAATAATAAAATTATATCTATATATTACTTAATGGAATTATAAAAGAAATCATTCAGTGAGCAATCAAAATAATTTATTTTTAGTTCAAGGAGATATTAAGGAGGCATTTAAAAAAAAAATTTTGCTTCAGGGGGCTATTCAAATTTTTCAGGGGGCTCGGGCATCTGCGCCCCCTAGCGACGCCACTGGTTTTAGATGTAAAATATGATTTGAGTCATATACCAGGATTATTAGTTTATGATCTATAGATTAAAAGGCATTCATGTTTTGTATTATAAATGAAAGTTGAAAATAAGGATTTGATGAAAATTCTGAATATTTATTTTAAGTTTCTTGATTGAGTTGAAAAATCCGATTAACGGGAAACCTATAATCACGCCAAATAACAAAATTTTTACATTTAGAATGTATCGATAATAAATATTAGCAAATTATTTTCACAGTCCTGGTTGGTCTTATCTTAACTTATTTCTTTTGTTTAGGTCAGTCTATTCAGAAAATGAACGAGGGCAGCCTATTTTGGTTTATTTTAACTTATATACTAGCTGGTATACATAATAAACATAGAAATCTGCTTTTTTTCAAGTGAACCCTAGATGTTCTTAAATTTTGTTTTGAATCTAAATAGACAAATAGAGTGAAAATTGGGATATATGGCATATTTTTTAAAGAATCAAAATGTTGTTTTGTTTAAAAATAAGTTATAATATAAGGTATCATCTCAGTTTCCCGCCAAAAACTTGGCGCACGACAATTGAGCGCAGCAGCAGCGGCGCGGTTTTAATTAAGCTGTTTTATTTAAAAATCATGATTTTTTTCACATATAAAAACAAATGAGTAGCACATGACTTCGCAGAACGTTGGTCCTATTAAATTATTGCATGTTTGTACTTTATTTTGATTATTCTTTACGAGAATTCTTGATTTACTAATTCTGTATTATTAACAATAAATTTGATACAGTATGATAAATATTACAATAATTTATATTCATATAATTTACGGAATTCATATAAAATTTATATAAGCTTTCGGTTATACTGTAACAAAAATTAAGAATTAAAATAAGTAACAAAAAAATTATGAAATGCTTAAATTATAATTTTGAATATAAATAAGAACTCCACAAGAAAAATTTAGGCTAATTTCAAAATTCAAATTTTAGCAATTGAATCATAAATTATGCCCAGCCAACATATATTCATAATAAAAATGTATATAGATACATTTGATTAGTTTAACCACTCTGATAAAATCAATTGAAAAGATATCAACCACAACCCCCTAATGACTTTGTTCTAAATATTTTATTTTCTATCTTAGCAAGCCATATTTTTTTTTATTTAGGTTGTGTCCAACACTAGTTTTAAAAATTTTAAGGAAGACTAACAATAAAATTATAATAAGTTTAATTTTAAAAGAAACTCTTTTGACGTTTTGGGAAATGATTAAAAATATTACGGAAACTTTGAAACACCAAAATACTTTTGTAATTTATTTAACCGTTACCCTTCATAATTTCTTGCACATGTAACCGAATCTTACTATTATATCCTAGATTACAAATTTTTATAATAGTCATAATTATTTATTCTTGAAAAATATAGCATTTCTAAATTAATTTTTAGTTACAATTAAAATGGCGCCCTCGAATAACTTAAGATATCTAAAAAGCTACATAAATTTTAATCTAATAGTGGATAATCTGATTCGCATTTATATATTTACTTAATTTAGATTAACCAAAAAAAAGGAGAAATATGAGTGTTAGAGTTTTGTAAATGCTCTATTTTTAAACGGTTTATAGTTCTTAGACGGAAACTATTTCCTCAGTCACAGAATTTGTTTTTCTTCTTCTAAAGACATAGCTTAAATTTCCAGAAAAAATAGAAATAAAATTGATGAGCCCCTCAACACTTAGCGAATTTCGTCTGTCGCGAACGTAAGATTAATTTAACCCTAGGCCTTACCCAAATCACAAAATCGTTATTATATATATAATTTAAATATGTACGCTTACATTATTTTACAAAAGTAACATATATAATCATACTCCGATCTGAGCCAAAACTACTCATTATATTAAAAAATTAATCAAAATATCAAAGGACACGTTCTAAAATAGATATTTAGTAATTTATTCATAAATGATATATAGAAAAAATTATATGAGGTGGAGTTAATCAATACAATTGTTATAAATTGTTGGCTCCCCCCTATGGTTTTTTTCAATACCAAAAAAAAATTAAATAAAGTTTAATTTTTCCCTTTGGCCCTTCTTTTATTGTGTCGCAAATACATAAAAATTAAATTAAGTTTTTCTTTTGACCTTCTTTTGTCTTATTGTAAATACATAAAAATAAAATAAAGTTTTCTTTTGTTTTGATTTAAATACTTTTAAGGTAAACATATGGTTTTTGTGTTTTCTTTTCACTTAGGGGTTTTACTTATGGAGTCTTCTTCTTATCTTATTTAGCACGTTGGTCATAGACTTTCCCAAAATGAGCGAACGTGAATTTTATGAAGGCCCATCCTTCATAAAATTATGCCGATTTTTTTTCTCAAGGATGCCAACAAACCTTGTTGCAGTTGTAGTTTAACTAAATGAGTGGAACTTACTCTTTCCGATATTGTAATAGTAATTTAAATTATTATTATAAAGAAATATAAATCTTATCTGTTTTTTAGTCTTGAATAACCATATTCATGATAAAGAGTGAGTTAAGAATATTTGAATCCATAGACATCAAAATTCCATTTCATTTGTTAAGTCATATTCTTCCAAAAAATGAACCGGAAAATCTTCGCCATTTGGGATGGATAGATGATTTCTAAATAAAATAATTATTCTAAATGTTGCCAAAATGGCGAGTCTAGCTGATCTGCTATTTTAATGAATGAACAAATAGAAAGGGTGTTCGGCAAATAAGTTAGATATTTTGGTCCGGGAGATCGCCCTGCATCCAGTGGTATAATTAGAGTTTTGGAAAGTATAGGGGGTAGGTTTTATCCCTAATTATGTAAGATAAAACTAACACACACAACTCTGTTTTGCAAAAACGTTCTTTTTTTCACTTTGCGCCAATTTTATTTAATAATTGCGCGTTTTATTTTCCCTATATAAGGGACAAATTTTTATATAATAGATATAGTTATTTTTTTGTTTTGGTTTTAAAATTAAATAAAATTATTGAAATCTTAAATTGTAGTTGCTTTTATTAACCTAAAATGACCGAGATGTGCTACCAACCATTTTACCCATAGAGGAAGTTCCTACGCTTCAACTATGAAAATAAAAAAAAACAATTACGTTTATTATTAATTACATAAAAAATATCACAATATTTACATTTAATAAATGGTAATTTATTGCAAGTATTGAGTCTGCAATTAGACCTGGTCTTTTGATCTACTATTATCTGTAAATGATGAATCTTTTCTTTCCTACAACGCAGGTTAGAATTGCAACTACTGCTCTCCTTTTAGGATTTACTCTAGTCAACACTCTCTGAACTTGAAGATTCATCTAATATTATCATGAATTAAATATTCCGTCAATATTTAAACTGATATATCATTTTTAAGATGGTCTAAATATTTTTCCATGTTTTTGTTCTACTTTAAATTGAGTAATTTTAAATTACTCTATCTAAATTATCAACTCCAGCCATATTTCAAGATACAATATGATGGACCATAATATAAATTTTGTTTTGATCCTCGCCGACAAAATCAATTGATTTCGATCGATAAATATTAGAGGTCACGTATATTGGGCTATTATCAAACCTTTCGTAATGCAGCTGTCACTGCCTGACATTGCATCAATTGAACCGCGTCCCTGCTTGCTCAGAGATAGGCTAGTTTAGAATACTGTTTTCTTAAGTAGATTTATCTTTAACAGGCCAGGTCCTGGCGTTTTATTAGGCATTTTATTAATTGTGAACTATAAAAATATCTATCGAAATATATAAGTATTCAATGGAAGCGTATCACATAATATTAAAACTATTCTACTTCCAACATCGATTTTATCAGGAGTTTGGTATATAATAGATTCAGCAGAACTCAATAAAATCTAAATTAATTGCTTCCGCTTGTCGCATTTAAAGTTTCGAATATTGCTTAGTTTGATAAATTAGTTCGCTAAAATATTCTAATGACAAGCTTTGGAATATACTTAAAATTATCGCTCTCTGACATATCCGTGTATCTAGAAATAAAATATATTCTATTAATCTTATAATAAAATTGTACCGAAAATTTATCTCTTGCTTAAAAAATTTACTTACCTCGCAAATATTAAATATAACATAAAATGTATACGTAAAGACCTGAAGTATCATATTGAATACTTTAAAGAAAACGATTTAAATATTTTTTTATTATTTATTTATATATATATTTATTTTAAAGATTTTGACTCGCATATAATTTTGCGAAATATTGGTATAATAAATTTTTATTAAAAACGCGCTTTTTGGTGAGTGTTTATAAAATCCGATATATATAAAAATTCACATATTTTTATGATACATTGGTATTTATTTTAATATACAATTTTTAAATTATTAAAGTATCATAGGTGATACACCAGGAGTGAATATGATATTGAAGGTTTAGCAGACTAATCTATAAGTCACGTATTTTCCGGCAGTTTCACTGGGTCTAATAATTCTAACCACCTGTTTAAATTTAAATAAAATAATTATATTTATATATATTATGTATTGTCAGTCACACCTGCAAAACTTCATAAATTAGTTGCTGTTTTTTTTAAAATGACCAACCCGTTATTTTCGCCAAATATTAAACAAACCTGGGGTTTTACTCAGTGATAGATGAATAGTTTGGAAATCTATTAACGAAATCTCGAAGTTTACGTTTTTTTTAAATTGTTCAAGGAGATAATTTAAAAAAATAAAAACTTTTATACATTTAATGCGCATATGCCTCCTAATTTTTTTTCTTTAAAAAATATATTTTCTTATTCTTGAAATATAGAGATGGCCATATATATTCCAATTTAATAAAAACATGTTTCTTTCTTCGAAGAACTTGGTTCCATCCGTAAATTTATTGATGAACTACAGGAGAATTCTATATCAGACAAATCACAATAACAGATTTTTAAAAACGGCTAACTCAATATTTTAGCAAATAAAAATATATTCCTGCAAGTCATTAGATTTTGATCACGGCAAGATCTCGAGGCTTAGGTAACATTTTTTATGGGTAAAATATCGATTATGCTATTTTTAAAAATCGAGTCAAAGTTTAACAACACTACTTCACAATAGCCATATACAAATTGTCACTTTTGGATGATAAACATTTTATAGTATATTGTATCGCCCATATATATTTATATATATATATATAAATTAATTAATTATCAATAAGATTCACATTTTTAGGTTATATGACAGAGGGCCTCTAAATAAACATATTTCTGCAAAAAAAAGTTTCACTTACGAAGTTTTATCGTGTGACCGACAATATATAGAATCATGCAAGTGAATATTAAATTTTATTTAAAATTGATTAGTGTTTGTCAAAAATTTCGATTTCAAGATACTAGCCAAAAAGTATTTTCTCTGCTTCGATATTTGGCACACAAATCACAAAAAAAGGTTTGCATTTCTTTTTAAACCAAATCTCGGGGTTATGGTAATTAGTTTTATGCTTAAAATCCTAATTTAACCATTTTTTTAAAAAAAAATCAGCAAAATCGAGGTTTTCAGCAACTAGATTTTAATATCTATAGCAAATTTTATAAGTTAATATGAGTAAATTTTACCTGTCCTCTTTTAAGTCCCAAATACCTGGCTATTGGATCCCCTTGTTGAATTCTTGGCAGTTGATTCTCTTTCAATTTGCTAATTTGCATGGTTTAAAGATTATTTTTGATCATAAAAAAAATTATTATAAGTGAACCGACTATAAAATTAGTTAAATTGATAAATAAGGTTCTGAAAAAGTGCTTTAATATAATACCCACAAATCAACTATGGAGGGCAAATTTTTTATAGAAACTTCTAGAAAAAAATCTTAATCATCTCGGAAATCATGAGTCCAAATCATTTATATATTGAATTATTAATTTATTTTACTATCTAATCAAAAGTTCTTCCTTTTCTTGGGGAGTCATCACTATGTGTTCTGGGACAAGCTAATGGAAAACAAAAATTAATTTATAAAAAATTGTATTTAAATTTTAAAAAAATAAAATTACATTTTCAAGATTCCAAAATTAATATATATATATAATAATAATATTTATCTGATTCCCTCATTTAATCTTATCTAGCCAATTGGAAAGCCAAAGGTGAGAAACTATTGATTATTATTATTTGAGATCAGTGTTTAGAAAAAAATTTGATCAACAATCTTTTTTCTTTAGGCTGTGTCCTAAATATATTGAAAAAAAACCTCAAAATTTATAAATTTTTGCAGATTAATAAAATTACCAAACATGTCCAAAATCTTCCATTAATTTTTTTTTTAAAGTTTTGTAAAAATTATAAAAAAGAAAGCCATAACTAAATAATAAATATGAAAATAATGCCACCATAACAACTTTAAAGATATATGTTAATATGCAATCATAAATCTTCAATATTACAAAGTTGTTTGCCTTATATTTTGAATTAATATTTTATAATCATTTTAACTTTGCCATATGATTACCTAAAATTTAAAGGGTAATTGGCACATGTACTTGCAGCCTTGCCCAGAATATTTTTAAATTTTGCTATTTTAATTCCATTTGGCTATATTTTGTAATTGTTTCAAAGGGAAATTGAAAATAAGAGCATTTAATGTTATGCACTGCATTACATGATTTTTCAACAGATTAATTAAAAAATTTTATCAGCCTAGACTAGCTTAAGTTTGGCAAAACAAATACTTTTAAAGAAAGGTGTCTGGTTTTTATAAGGATCCCTCAAATTTCCTAGATATATTTGGAGAACTCACTAGCAAGATTTATGAGAAAATTTCCATCCCCAGTTATGGTTTAAAAAAAATATATTTAAATAAATGGTAGACTAACTTCATGTTCTGTTATGTTTATCAATAATTCTGATTCTGAAAAAGTTTGTAGTATGTATTTAGGTGCCATATCTCCCAGAGCCTTAGATTTAATTTAAAATAAATAAAGTTTATTTATTGTTTAATATAATAACTAATGTTAATTTCAACTTTATTAAATCTTAAATTGAAATATTTTCTTTTAAGGATATTTTTATTTATAAGTATCACCTGTTTGGCTATTGGGGTCATTCCACTTCTTATTACTATTATGGCTTTGCAAATATTTTCCTCCTGCATTTTTTGACAATAAGCTTTAATTATTTTTATACCAATTTTCTCATCTTCTGGAAAGAACACAAACATTTGGTCTATTTCAAAATGTATAGAATTATGTCATTTAATTGTTTCATATTTTTTTTTTCATCACAACAAAAAATTCTATATTACAGAAAACTTAAATGATTATTATTTTGACCTGAATAATTATCAGAGTTGTTAAAAGATACTTTTTAAATGGATCTAGATACAGATACAGATACATAGTCTCAAAAGTTATCTAGATACAGATACAGCGTCTAAAAAGTTATCAAGATACAGATACAATTTTTAAATGTATCTGTATACAGATACATTTTTTTTATGCTCTTATAGGTTTGCATAAACCTAAATTAATATTATATTGTGAAAATTCATGAAATGAGCTAAAATTTATTGACGCGATATAACATTTATCAGAATATAACCAAAATTATAATTTTAATATAATATATGAAAATATATGATTAAATAATTATTAGATTTCAGTAATAAAATATTTTCAAAATTTTGATCATTTAGGCATCCTCGTTTATCTGTGAAGACATTTTTAGCAACACTAAATAGTCTTTCCACAGGGGCGCTTGAAGGAATTGTAGTGTTATATTTAATAAATAACAATTTTATATCAGTTCTTTAAAAATGCTAAAATCTCTACATTTATTTTTGAAAAAGTTATTTAAAATTTGTTGATTATCAAAATTTAAATCATTATTAGAAATTATATCTGCTGTAGGCTACTGAAAAAAATCTGAAATTAAATTATTTGTTTTTTTTGGCAGGTTATTTGCTTGCAGTCAGTTGATGACTTTGATAATTCACCAGCTAATCTTTGTATCAATTGTTTTCTTTTATAATGGCTGCATGCCATCTATAATAAAAGCAATAATTAAATCATCTAAAGTGCCTTGAGTTAAAGTCAAAGGTCTTTTAGCAAAAATATTATTGGAGGATGAGCCTTGACAATATTTTCTTTAGTATTTTATTTTCCTTCCCCTTTTTTATTTTTGTTAAGGTTGGATATTTTCTCTTAAAATTTTAATTAGAATTTTAAATATATAATATCTATACCCTTATTGCTTCATGATATTGCACGTTGAAGTCATACTGACGGATATTTTTGTATTTTTAGGTAGACACGGCAACTTTTACCATCAGAGAATTAATTGTTTTCTTTGTTTTGAGATATTATTTTAAAATATGCTCAATTTGGCCATGGTAAAGCAATAGAACTTGTTGCTTCCTCTTCTTCATCGATATAGATCTAAATAAATATATAAACTTAAAAATTTAGTTATAAAATAAAATTTACCATTTCCATATTGTAATATTAAAATTTGTATAGTTTATTGATAAACTCGGACATAATATTTAAATTAATGAATATTTATATATAAGTTTTAATATTTTATGTATATATAATGCTTTATTATAGTATTAATAAATATTAATATATAATATATATATTTATTTATTTCATAAGCTCATATGAAATAAAATAAATTTTACAGTCAAATATTTTTATTTACAATAAAAAAAGGGGTATATAAAATGTATCTTAAAAAGTATCTAAAAACAGATACAGATACCTCTAAAAAAATATCTATAACAGATACAGATACCTTTCTAAAAAATCTATCTTGATACAGATACAGATACTACATTTTTATATCTAGATACTTGTATCTAGATACTATAACAACTCTGATAATTATACAAAACTTATAATAGCAAATTAACCTGTAGGGTCATCATTATGGGCAACCAAAACTATTAAGTCACTCCTTGCTGGTCTTCTTTCACTAAAAAAATAAAGTATAATATATTTCTGAACTACAAATTTACAAGAAATATTGATTAATTGAATACCTTCTTCTATTATAATGAATGTATATCAAAAATACAAACCTAGGTTTATCTCCAAATTGAACTTTAAATTGCTCCAAAGTTTGATCTAATTCCTCTTGTGTGACCAGGTACCCACGATCATGGCACATCTAATATATTTAAATTATTTCTAAATTAATGTATTATATTATTATATATTACTTGCATTATGGTTTTTCGAATCCTCCAAAATTTGTAGGTTTCAGCTTCATCATCCATTTGAATTTACTAGGATTTCTATGATTAAAAACTTGTGATATGACAAGACACTATAATAATTGAAAGCTGCCTGATTATAGAATAATGACATTAGGGAATGTCAAATTGTAAACAATAAATTTTAAAATTCGCTTTTGTTCGTCATTTTATTTAGAACATCTTTGCCAGAGTTTTAAATACAGCATTCAAAATAAAGCAATTTCATCTACAACATTAGAAATTAAGAACCTATTTTAATGCTGGGCATGCTCATCCTTCTGATAACAACAGACATGCCCTACTAAAATCTAATCTATGGTATATAAAAGAGGGGCAGACGAAACTTTTCCAAATATTTGCCAGTTTTTAAATTTAATAATACATAATGCTTTCATAGGAATCAGTTAAAAGAACCAAAAATTACTCTAAGCGTCAACCCTCAATTCCTGTTTATTTATAATATTTGAATATAACTAAGTGATAAATTTTTAGGGGAAAAAATACATTTTAATAAAATTGAGTGGGGAGGGAGCGGGTAATTTAGTTCACTTGGTTTTTTTTCAATTTTTTCTAATATCTCAGGAAATTTTTTGATAAAAAATATTTCATAATCAAATATCTTGTTGAAAAGAATTTATTTCAATATACATAATCTTGATGTTTATACATCCATATCTGTATTACAATCAATTTTTCGATTGTATATGTTATGTCATAACTACGTCAGTCATCGCCATATCATGTCATCGCCACACATCATGTCATCGCCACACATCATGTCATCGCCACACATCATGTCATCGCCACACATCATGTCATCGTTACGCATTTATTTATATTTAAATAATATAAAAATAATAATATTATTTAAATAAATACAAGATAATAAATATAATAATTTTTACATGGGATCTGTTATAATATCATCCACTTCTAAATATAATTTAACCATCTTAGATATTAAATTTTAGAATTAATACTATAATAAATTATATAGTGAAAGCTAAATTTAGTTTTAAAGATAACATTAAGATAAGAAATTGAAATTTTCATCCTCCTGCATAGTAATGTAAAATGGCTCTATTTTAACCGATTTTTAAAAACGGTTAACTTAATATTTTAGCAAGAAAAATATTGCCCAAGCCTTAAGATTTCCCTAATACATGTCCAAACTTTTATACCATCTGTGAACAAAATTCTCAGGCTGCGTTTTATTTTTTGGATAAAATATTAAGTTCAAACCGTTTAACAACATTATTCCCAAAATTTTATTCTTAATTAAAAGTATTAAAATAATTATATACTTACTAAATGTATCTATTTTTTTATCGAAATACTTATCCGTTTATTTTATTAATCAAGGTGATGTTGTAGTAAGGGAGACTGTCATATTAAATATATATGAATGAATATATTATTTTAATATAAGTAATAATATAAATTTTATATTATTTAAAATGTTACTTATGTGTTAATATATAATTTAATGAAGACAATTTTGCCTATAATTTACTGTTTTTGGTTTTTTTAAATGTCGAAATTAAGCCTAGTTCCTATTGAATTATATAAAATTAAGCAACTAATTCATAGAGATGTAATGGATAATAATATTTGACACATGACGATGAATATATAAAGTTTTATTGCATAATTATTTTACTATATATTTCTCTCATATATATAATAAATATAATATGTATTGTGTAATTAATATTTATAAAATTGGGTTCTATAATAAATATCTCACTTTGCCTATAAGTTTTTTATTTTTAAAATTTTATTATGAATTGCAGACCTCTGAACATTTTCCATATCACTAAATATTTTAATGATAAATTTTGACCGTTCACAATAATTAGAGTATATAAAGAAAACCCAAATAGCTGTTTCGATGTTCGTGTGTTTAATTCTAATTAGCCTAATGATGATTTTATTTTCATATTGATTAGAAATTTAAATAATAAATAAATTTAATTAAAATATTAGTAATCTTTAAAAATCGACTTGCAAAAAAGCATTTGTATTTAAATACTTTTTTCGAGATATTTTTTAGGTGTTTTGTATTTATATTAATTCATATGTTTAAAATATATTTGTATTTACATTCTGATAAATATAAATATCAAAATATTAAAACAATGTTTAATTTATATTAGGTCATTAGAAGATTTATAAGTTAAATTTTACTTCGTTTATATACATAAGTCCCTTAGATAATTGTTATTAAAAATTTTAATAGAAGATGGATGGTTGATTATCATTAAAATCATTTTTGGATATATACCGATACCACTTTTTAGAGGTTGATTTGATCCGATATTCCCTATATTAAATTTATACCGGCCGATTACCGATCCGATATCATATATAATTTTGTATTCTGTAAAGATACCAATGGTTTTTTAATATACTTTTTATTAGTATAACATCTATAATTTAACTATACCATAACTTATGTCATTTAAATATATTATAATGATCAGTTATAGTTTATATTCAATTCGATTGCAATTCTAAAAGTATATAAAATATTTTTATTGTTATAATAATAATAACATTAATCTATATACATATTAAGTAATAAACAATTATATTATGATGAAATAAATATTTAAAATAATATTTAACATTAATATAGCGAAGATTTCTTTTTAGAAATACCAATATTTCCAATTTATCAGAGGTCAGTTTGCGGCGATAGTAACTGTCAATATCGCCAGCTTCACTAAAAACAGATTCTGAAGAGATTATTGCACACTTTTATAAACAGAATTCTCAAAAAAATAACAATATGAATGTTTATTAATTAAATATTATTATTAAAAAAATATACATAAAAATGGATTCCGATTTTATTTATAAAAATAAATGATTTCAGATAATTTTTTTTAATTTTGTTAAAGAAGCCATTTTTATATCGGATCAAATTTTATAATATTGACCGATAACCGATATTTTAAAATGGGTGAAATATCGACCTGATCCGATAAAAAATATCGGCACATCCCAAATATATTTTATATTTAATTATTTTAGCAAGTTCTAGTAAATATTTAAGCTACAAATATATAATATTAGATAATTTTAAAAGGCTCTTAATAAAATAATTATAATAAGGTAGAATTTAACTTTATTAGTTACTTTTATTTATTTATGATATAAATAAAATTACATTACAGTATTTATTTACAAAATTTAATTAATTTAAAATGCATTAAAGAAAATTGCTATAATTAACAATTAAATAATATAATGTTGTACATTATTTTCATATTTTTTATATATAATTAATGATTTTGCAAGAAATATATAAAAATAATTTTAAAAGAGATTTAAATGATATATATATATATATATGATATTAAAAATGCAAGAATTAATAAATCAAATTAGAAAATATATCTAATTTAAAAAAATACGTAAATATCACAAACAAGTAATGATAAATACTTATCAAAGATAATGAATAAAATAAAACTAGTATAATTTTTTTAGAGATGTCATTTAGCCATATACTCCGAATATAATCTCTATTTAAAACAACAGAAAATAACCTGCAAATTCTAATTAACCATTTGATTTAATTTTTTTTCTTATTTGCACATTTTCAACTACCATTAAATATACTACTCTCCCTTCCCTGTTTATGCTATTAATGGGCAAAAATTAATATTAAAATCTCTGGTTATTATAAACAAAAATTTGTGAATACGAATGATTTTATTAAATTTCTTTTTACATAAAACCTAGTCATCAATAAATATTTTATTAATTATTGCAAATATTCATTCTTATATGTGTATGCTATGTTCTTCACAAATAAATAATAAAAGCTGTATTTTATAAACTATTCTAATTTAATTGGTGATGATAATTTAAAAGTATCTTGTATTTAAGATACTCTAATTTAGTAAAAGATACAAGTATCTTTTATCTTGTATCTTTTTGATATTTTGAAAAAGATACTAGTATCTGTATCTAAGATTCATTTTTTTATAAAGAATCTGTATCTGTATCTAGATTCTTTTTCCAGAGGACCTGCCCAACTCTGTATATATATATATAACTTAACTTTTTAATAAATTCAATTTAAACTATTTGAATATTTAATAACACACATTCAAATGTAGTGAGAATCTTTTTATTATTATGTATATTTTTTTAAATTTATTATTATTCAAATTTTATTGTATATATTTATATAGTATGAATTTGATATTTAGAAGAGAAATAAATATATTTTGGTAATTTTCTTATTTTTAAAAAATAAAATTTATTACCAACTCCCTGCTTACTTCAACATATTCAAATACCTTTTTTGAAGTGTAATTAAATTTATATTCGATCGCACATATTTTAAAATTTACAGGACCCTGGATAAAATAAATTCAATTAAAATATAAATTTATTGATGGAAATGTTTTGGTAAATAAAATAAAATAAAATGTATTTAGAACTATACAAAACAAGAGTAAACAGATATAAAGACCTTCTTTCTTTTTTAAGCTGAAACAGATAACACAAAATTAATCTTGTTCCAGATTACTAATTAAATTATTAAGTACATACTCCGCTCAGTATTGTTCTTAATTTTTTAAAATTTGTATGTGAAGAACAAATAATTTTTTTTTTACAAATGAGAGATATAACTCTAGTATATAAGATTACTATTAAAGACTTATCGTAAGATTTTATATTGTCCATATACCGAATTATTAATATAAACTTAATGAGCTTGGCTTGTGTATCCCACTTGTGAAATAGAATCACTCTTATACATATTTATTACAAAATATACAATATTGCTAATTATTAAGAATTAGGGTTACTTTGGAAAGACTAATATATTTAAAAATTATCTATTATTAATATTTCACAATATTAAAAACTCTGTTTATAGTTTAGTAAATACAAGTTTTTATATCTATATGGCTGTTAAATTATTTGAATGGGTGGACGGGGGAATTAAAAAAAAAATTAAAAGAACAAGTGGGCTGGCTTTTGAGTTAAAAATTTGACATTGCAGACCTCTACCATAGGTTCATTTAAAATATGAAATTTAAGCCAGTAGCGCGTTTAAGAGTTATAAAATTTCAAAACAATATTTTTAGAGCCCGGTAAATGAATATTATTCTTAGTTTATTACAATTTTGTTATAAAATATTTGCAATAAAGTATCTATTAGTATTAAAGAAATGTCACATGTACAAAATTCCGTCTTATTCTCTTTTCTCCTCATTCCAGGTGAAATATTTTTTTTTCAAAATCCTTTTATGTGGCAATAACTCTCTAAACTGGCCAAAACAAGATAAATCAGCCAGAACGTGAAGAAAATGCAACCCGTAATAACTTTACACATCATAGGGCCACCAAGTTCACCTTTCGTTATAGAACGCTTGACCATTAAGACTGCGATAGCTACCACTGCTAACACACAATATATAGTGACGGAAAAGGCCAAAGAACCGGGATCTACCATAAAAAGTGTTCCTTTGGCAGAATGGTATATAGCGGCCAAGGCCCATGCTAATCCTATGTTTTTTTATAAAAAAATATTTATAAAAATTTTTTAAAATTTTATAATAATATATTTATACATATTTACAAGTAAGCCATAATGATAGTGCTATCAATGACATATATAATACCTAGACTGACGATTTATTTATTAAAATCCATTTTTAGGCGTTGCTAAAAGCAAATCAGCTGGACCCGCCATTTTGGCAACACATATAGTAATCATTCTCATGTTAAAAACTACTATTAAATTGATAACTTGCTTCCTTATTATCTCGATGATCCGGTGATTCTTTAATAAAGTTTGCATCAGATATAGGAATAAATGAAGCTCTCGTTTAAAATTTTAATAATGATTAGTGTAACCAAGATGGCGTCTTCAGCTGATTTGCATTGATGCACACTTTTAATGAATGAATCGTCAGTCTAGGTATTATATATGTCATTGAGTGCTATAGAACACCTGGTAAAAAATTGTTTATCTTTAATAAGTAAAGCCTTGACTAAAATAAATGGTGATATTAAAATTATGCCATCCTTTTATAAAATTTGACAGACTTAATCTTAATTATTTAAAATAATATTTAGTTTCAATTTTTGACATATATCAACTCATTTTGAAAATTTTTCTCGTATGGAATAGATGTATTGAAGCAAGAGGGTCATAAGTAATAAATAATAGTTTCTGTTATACCTACCTATTCCTAAGAAAACGTTAACAGCATTGCTCCCTGTTACATTTCCAATACTGGCGTCAGCGTATTCATCTTGCAGGGCAGCTAACTTGCTAGCGAAAGTATCTTTCATATATTTATTGAAATACTAAATTTTATTGTATATATATATATATCTTATCTTTTAAATAGAAACTAAACCAAATTATTTGAAAAACATATCGAACTTAGTTTTAATTTTAAATATTCACGAATCCTATTTTAAAAGTGGAAAATTTCTCATATTAGTCTAAGTCAAAAAAATAACAGAAATATGATCGAATACGCCTAATTTTGAAAAAATAATCGTCCCCCCTCCTGTACCATTTTTTATAATAGATTCTAGAAGAATAAATGTTAAGATATAATGGGAAAAAAATGGTTAATTCAAAATTTTTAAACTGTTTGAAATTTTTTGAAGAATTGTATTGCCCCAAAATTTCAATCAAAAAAAATCATTGCAAAATCTTTAAAATCTAAGATTTTTTATAATCATAAAAAAAAAAATTTATGCATAAAAATCATAAGAGATATTTACTTATAAAAGATTTTTTTTACAAAAAAAATGATTTGAAATTTTGGATCAAAAATTATGTTTGATCATTCTCAAAAATTTAAAAAATTGTCAAATCTAAATGTTTAAAGATTTTATTTTTTTTGAGCAAATGTTAAAACTCTGATTTGAAATATTATTTTCTACCCGGTACACTAGTGCCTAAAGCGACGAACGATATAGCCGTAACAGTATCTTTGAGTCCTATGGTGCATCCAAATGCTGAAGCTATATCGCCAATTACCGCCGTCAATATGCCTATCCATATGATGGCGAATATAAAACACAACCAGCCACCCCAAAAATCTAAATAGAATATTAATATGTATTATGCATATAAGCCACGTATATAATTGTTAAACTCACACTCTTCTCTTCTCTTCTCTTCTCTTCTCTTCTTCTTCTCTTCTCTTCTCTTCTCTTCTCTCTTCTTCTTCTCTCTCTTCTTCTCTTCTCTCTCTCTTCTTCTTCTCTTCTCTTCTCTTCTCTCTCTTCTTCTTCTTCTCTTCTCTTTTCTTCTCTTCTCTTCTTATAAATCAGGCCCATTTCCTCATTAAGCATTTTATTTAGGAGCATATAAGCCAAGCAACTTTAAAATAACTTATCCAGAGTTGTTAAAAGATCGACTGGATTCGATCACAAATTTGTCAATTTTACGAGATTTATGATTCTGACTTAAATTGAGGATCGAGATCGAGATCATTTTGTTTATAATTTGATCCCGATCTTTTAAATAATTAAATTTTTACCTAAAAAGCAATAAATAAAATAAAAATTTTGAAAATTAAATTAAAATATTATTTTTTAAAAAAATATCTATCTTCATATTTTATCAACTTCCATTCCACCATTTCCTAAATTTTACGAGATTTAGAGCTCTTACAAGTTATTTAATATAAATTTATAATAATATATTAATATTTATTTTAATAGGAAAACGTAAATGTTTATTATAGATTTGGAAGATTCTATTGGGAAGATATTTAATAGCTCCCAACAAGACAAGATGGAATTCTTTTTACCAATCCATGAAATTAATAGATAAGATGCTTTCTGAAAAGTTTTCAGAAGTAGAACAAGTATGTGATCAAATTGAATTTGCAATTTTTAGGCAAGAGGAATGTTTTTTTGTTAAAGAGTATGCAACAGTAATACAATGATATTCTCTAAATAAATTTAAATTTTATAGGTTATGGAACCTTTGGCGATCTCGTTAAAAATCTTGGAACGGGAGGATAATATGGAGCAGGGATATCTAACTCCCGTTCTATCGATATTGATAGATAAATTAACGAAACTTAGCTGCCTGCGGTATTGTCAGCCCCTTGTAGATAGTGTTCTTAGAGGTATTGATAAAAGATAATATTTTTTTATGCAATTATTTTATATTAACAGATATCTGCAAAATATATTAAAAAATTGCAAAGATCTGGCAAATTTAGTAAAATATTTTTAACAGGCCAGTTCTACTAAACCTCTGATATCTAGTAAATATTAATGGGCCTTTGAAGACATTAAAAATTTATTAGATTATTTGAATTTTAAGCTAATATTTTGATTTAATATTCTTTGTAAATAAATTACAATTTTAATTTCTTTGTATATTAAGTATTAAGTTTACATTTAATCAATATTTATGATATGACCCAAATATAAAAAAATACCATACAGATGATGTGCCAGACTTAACTGTAAAATTTAAAAGGGTTAAGTTTTGCAGATACTTGATTTGATTTATATGAATAAAATGAACACTTATTTAATAATAAATTAATTATCATTTCATAATATAGATTTCCTTCACTGTATGAAGACAGTAACATTTTGGCAGCCATGATTCATCCTAAATTTAAACTTAATTGGCCTTATATTAATCTGCCACAAAATATGATGGTAAAAAAAAGATTAGTTGCCCATTTGGAAAATATGCAGAAACAACCATATGCGGATACTTCAAATGAATGTATGGATGACATTGATGCTTTTTTTGGGAAAATACTGTACAAAATGCTTGTTCCGTTAAAAAATTTTTATATTCAAATGATGATTCCATGAATATTTTTAATACTTATATTAATTTAAAAAAAATATGTATTGAATATAATACACCTTTGCCATCAAGCACTCCTGTGGAGCGCTTGTTTAGTAAAGCTAAACATGTTCTAAATGAAAGACGCGGATGTTTAAATGATGATAATTTAGAAAAAAATTTATTATTAAAAGCTAATTTTAATTATAAATAAATATATTATAATTGTTATATATTCAATTACAATAAATTTCTACCATATTATTTATTTTTATATTAGTTAATTTTGCATCCGTTATATTGTATTATTATTCAATTACAATAAATTTATAACATATATCAGTTAATTTTGCATCGGTCAGAAATTTCCTACAGAAATTTAAATAGAAAAAAAGGTCGATCCTGGATTTCGATCCTCTTTTTTTGAAAAGATCGTGATAGGGATTCGATCGTTTTAAAAAGATCGGTTAACAAGCCTGAACTTATCCTTTTTTTAAAAAATGAATCTTCTATGGTTTGTCCTGGGTTTGACTCATTTTTGATATTTAATGCATTCTTGGGATAAACACCTTTTGAACTTTTTTTTTATCTCGTTTTATGGGTTTTTTTTTGTAAATTTTGATTTCGTTTTTTCTTAATTTTTATTTTTATGTTTAGTCATAATAAATAAAATATACTGCTAAACAGCCGGCTGTTTGGATAAGTCAAAACAGAACACACCCATATAGCTTATTATTAAAATTAGAGCTGTTAAATCGGCTCATTCTGAGCTGATTTCTAAAAACGGCTAACTCAATACATCATTCAGAAAAATATTACCTAAGCCTGAAGATTTTGCTCATAGAAGGAACAAAGATCTAGATATTATATTATCAAAATCTTGAAGCTTAGGTAATATTTTTCTGGCTAAAATATTGAGTTAGCCGTTGTGTAAAATCGACTCAAAACGAGCCGTTTAACAACACTATTTAAACTCTAAAAAAAAGGGGAATCATTACTGTTTAAAAGTGTTCACAATATGATGAATTTTTTAAAGGAACTTATTATACTATCTATTTATAATTAAACTTGCAATATTATAAAAAAATATATTAAATATCAAAATTATACCAGTAGGAGGTACGAAAGCAAATAAAACTTTCCAAAACAGGGTAATGTAATGCAAACAATAATCCCAGTAAGAGGGAGCCGTTCTCTTTCCTGTACCTTCTTTTTCCTCCCCATTTTCTGTTACTTCGGCTATTTAAGACACATTTTTTTTAATTTTGAAATGATTTCATATAATTTATTTTCTTATTCTACTATACTTTTTCATTATACTATTCTTTAATCATATTTAACCCTTCCCCATCCCTCATTCCACTATCGAATGCAGTATACATTATATTTTTTAGCTAAAAATTATGTTATTTATAAAACTATTCTTTAAGGTTAGGTATATAATGAACGAGACACGATAAAAATCGCCATTGATTCAACAGCTTATAGATTGCTATAAAAAAAATGATCTTCATAAAATTCATATATCTTTAATTCCAATCGTAATAATAATTTAAGAATTTATCGATATAAGGAAACAACTTAAATAGCAATTTCCTCGCGTTCATTATAAATTCCTTTTAATACTCAATCCTATGGTAGCAAAAAAAAACAGCATGATAACAGACGGCTCAAGGACTCCATTTTGAAAAGATTAAATTATTTTTAAAAAAGTCATATTATGTAAACGTTTGCTAATAGTGATAGCCTCTAGAAATTGATCTTTCCAAGTCGATGTTCCAACCATAAATGAGATGTTGATATTCTTCAAAAGTCTATCAACTGAGAGCTGTTTATTATTTTTAAAAAAAAATCATATACGTATAATTAATTGATTCATTCAAAAAGTAATTTGACACTTTAATCACTTCCGGTTTCGATTCCGAATGCAAAAAGTGGATCGGTTTCTAAACCGGTTTCCGTTAAATTTGACCAGATTCTGGTTTCCTAACTCTGGGTGCTAATAAATCTATAATTTTTGCATAATCGTGATTTAAATTATCCATCACTTTAAAATCCTTGCTTTCGGTGATGTTTATAATACACGAGGATGGATCTCCAAGAACGGGGGATCCTGGCTGGGAAGAGTCAGCTTTATCGTTAAACATAGAAGGTGTGGGACTTTTAGATATGATACTATTTGGATCATTAATTGCGTTTTCATCTTTAAGTTTTTTTTTACCAATATAATAAGGCGTGCATTAAAATCTCTCGTGCTAAATGCGATGATTAAACTTCATTATATGATGGTAAAAAAAAAATAAAACCATCGCTATTTCCCTAAAATATTAAATACAGCTAAAAAAATTTAAAATTTCAAAATTAGTATAACCGTTAGACTAGTGTTTTAAAGGGGCTCGTTTTGAGGCGATTTTTAAAAAACGGCTAATTCAATATTTCATCCAGAAAAATATCACGCAAGCCTGAAGATTTTGATCATGGAAGGAATAAAGGTCTAGACATGTATTGTCGACTCCAGGCTTTGGGCTAAAATATTGAGTTAGCCGTTTTAAAAAATCGGCTCAAATCGAGCTGTTTAACGACACTACGTTAGACATTAATATTATTATTAATATTAAATTTGAGGAAGGAAGGGTAGTTATGTATATATATTTTTTTATACCTAAATCCCTTTTTGCCCATATTGGTTGTCCCAGCTTTAATTCAAAGGATACACTTTTTTCGTATTGTTCGGTGTCGTTTATACGAATGAATATGTAACTCCTTAAAATATAATTTTATATTTTTTTTAAAAAAAAATTTACGTTTTATTCTTCCTCTTTCTTTTTTTTTTTTTACTTTACTTTACTTTACTTTATTATTTCTTTTTCTTATTTCCTTTATTATCAACTATTTATTTTAACTTTTTTTTGTTCATTTTAAAATATCTTGGAATTCAAAATTGTTTTTTTCTGGACATTTTTGACAATTCTATTTTATATTATAAAATAGTGATCTGCATCGGGCCTAATTTTTCAAGTCCGGCCCGAACCTGAAATATTTTTTGAAAAGATTTACCGGCCCGGCCCGAATTTATTTAAATATGGAGTTTAATTTTTATAATAACTCAAAATAAACTATATATTTGATATGGGATCTAGTTTCTATAAATAAAATCAAATATTTTTATTTTAATAAAAAATTCAAAATTTAAGATATATTTAAAAAAAAAATTTAAGGCCCTATCCGACCCAACCCGAATTTTCTTAAAGGGTTTGGGCCGGGTGGACCTACTTTTGTATATCTTTATTATATACTATGTCTAATACCTATAATAGTACAAACCTGTCCTTAAAGGGAAAACTTAATCAAAATTTTATGTAAACTAATGACAAAAGCGCCTTATAGCTAGTTTATGGATTAAATATGTGCTTTGATTGATCAAACGTAAACGTTGATTTATGTAATGGTTCCACACATATCATAAACAGCCATATTCAGATTTTACGCTTAATCTCCGCTAATAAGCTAGCGGAAGTCTTTCCAAATTTATCAATCGATTATAAGAAATTTTGTTAATAAGTCCCGATTACCATACCTTTAAGGATTTGCCATTATAAAAAAATAATAACCTTGTAATTTTCTTGACATAACTCGCACTATTTAAATTCACGCCTGAATTTCGTAAGGTTGCGTTCTAACCAAAAATTTTTTATAAAATTAAGGGGGTAACTTAGTTGATAAAGTTTTTAAAAATTTCGCATTTTATGTTTTGGTCATATATTTATTTTAAAAACTTTGTCTATTATTCTTAGAACAAACTGATTTTGAAACCTGAGACCACCAAAAAATATCTATACCTAACTAAGCAGCCCAAAAAATCAGTCACTTAAGATAAATATAACTTATTTAAAGTTAATAATTGGTTACACCGCCGCTACTAAGATTTTTTTTTTGGGGGGGGGAGACTTTTGGAGTGGGTTTTTTCAGCTCACCTTTTCACTGGATGTTTTAAAAACCTTTTGTCGATTTACATCCTAAAAAAATATTAAAAATATTGCTATTAATTGGTATAATTCACTTCCTTTTATTTAAGGGGAGAGAGGAGTGGAGAAAATGTATGAGAATGTCTTTTTATTAGCTTGAAACGGTTAATGGTATTTACGATACGAAAAATGGATAATTGGCTAAAGGGGGGATTCTGCCTTCTCATCAATATGGTTATACGATAATGTTTGGTTAAAAAAGGTGTTCTCAAAGTCATTTAAAAAAATATATGTCTTATTTATTGTAAATATTTGTGTTGATAAATAATAATAATATAATAATAATAACATAACATGTTCGTTTATATCGATAATAATTTCTCATTGAAATAACTTTTTATCATTCATTATATCGTTTTAATCGCTTTATGTGTTATAAAAATTAGCTGCTTAGGGGCCTAATATTGAATAAATGACTTTATAGATATTTTAAATCATTACAATTAACCATGATTATAATTAATTATCAAATGAAATTATTATAAGTATATTTAAAAGAATTGATAATATTAGACACATTTAAAAAGTAATGTTAAAAATGTATACTATAAAATGGCGACTATGTAATGGTTTAAGAAAATAAATTAAATTTCGTGAAAATATAACTTTAAAACTAAATATGAGCTAAGATATACGTTTGAAACAAAGAAAAATGACTGATAACGTGCACAAAATTGAACGTTTCAAAGCAGCTTTTTAAAAACGCAAATAAGTGCATTTTAATATCCATTCGTTTAAAATTGGACAGCATTTATTTTTGTTTTAAATTTAGACGTTTTCATATTAAAACAAAAAAAATTAGCGGTTTAATTTAAACATAGCTGCGTTAACATTTTTTTTTATTTGCATTTTTAAACTCTGCGTTGAAAAGTTCAATTTGTGCGCATTATGAATTACGAATAAATAAATATATTTTTTAAAATATGGGAAAGTTTATCCGAGGGAGGAATAAGAGGCGATTCGTGAAAAAAAAATAGAGGGAACTAATCTTCAGGGGAATATTTTGGCGAAGGTAAAATCTCACACTAGGAACGCCTATCCTCTGTATCCGAGGTTTTTTCTGGCTAGTTTTATTAGTTCTCAAATTTTGTGATTTATTTAAACTATAATTATAAACCGTTATATAATTAAATTTAAAATGGGTTTAAATATTTAACGACTATACTATAATTTTTTTTTAAAAAATATTGGGGTTTGCATACTATCTTATTACCCAACACCAAATACGGTCTAAACCGATGTCAATCAGGGTTAGCTCGAAACCAATACCAACTCGATTTTACCCGAGCCCGATATCAAGCAAAAAATTTAGCAATAAAGGGATTTATTTTATTTATACATAATAATTTTATGAAATTCTTAAAAGTAAAATTGAAAGAAAAATAATTCTTTCTTTTTTTTTAAAAAAAAAACATTTATGAAATTTAATCCTCCATTTTGAGTATGGTTAGTTTGTATCGGTTAAAAGTTAAAGTATCGGCCAAATACCGATAATAATCAATATCGAATATCATCAGGATACCGTTAGTATAATCCGGATTTTTGGAGAATAAGTTGGCGGAAGGATATGGGTGCATCTGTGAAAAATAGGGAAAATGAAATGCGATCGAAAATGTGTGTTATATTTTTTTTTAAAAAACAGAATATTACGAGTCTGAGTAGCTTGGTTAAATCTGCAATACGTTCTGTTTTTAGAGGAATTTCCGTTTTTTAACAATTTCCATATGCCACTTAAGCTTTGCGAACCCCCACACCTCTGGAAATTTGTTCGTTCTCGCAAATCATTTTATGTCGATAAAAATATCTCCCCTACACCCCACGCCCACCATCTTCTCACAAATAATTTATAAATAATATCAAAAACAATAATTTGATCGAAAAGTAAATAATGTCTATAAATTTTAAAAAAAACAAACATTTTTATTAAACATAGCCAATATAAATTATAACGAAAAACCCAACCGAATGCTTCCATCCCCCTGGCTACGGATATACCAGGTCTATAATTTATTAATTTGCACATAGCACGATAAAATTATTATAAAGAAGCCAATGATATAATACCTAGATTGACGATGGATTCATAATAATGCATATGAAAGCGTCATTGAATGCAAATCAGCTGGACCCATTCTCATGTTAAAAACTACTATTAAATTGATACCCTGCCTTATGATCTCGATGATCAGGCAATTCTTTAATAAATTTTGCGTAAATTGGCCTCTCGTTTAAAATTTTTAATAATAATATGGGTAATATAAAATGACTTCCCCATCTGTTTTTCATTGGTGAACACTTTTAACGAATGCATCGTCAGTCTAGGTATTATTATAATAGGTCATAGCATAAAAGGGATTTTTTTTTCTTCAATGGAACATTATTTAGAAGTTTTTAACAATATGCAAATATAGATATTGGAAGTGTATTATTATTTAATTTGTCACAATTATAAATTTTTTTAAACTCTTTTAAAAAAAGAAATCAGTTGGAAGTTAAAAAAATAAAAATGTGGATAAATTTTATGATATAAAATACAATGAATAAATAAACAAATATATAATACACAAAATATATACTCGAAATTAGGGAAAGAAAGAAAGAAAGAAAGAAAGAAAGAAAGAAAGAAAGAAAGAAAGAAAGAAAGAAAAAAAAAAAAACTCGATTAGGGTTGATTTAAAAATAAATTGCTCTGTTAAGAATAACAGCCAACATAATATTAATGTGAGATTTTGGATCATAAGATGACTGAAAATTTTGGAGATCTATTTGCCAAATCCCGAGGCTTACATAATATTTTTTTTTGGGCCAAAATTTTAATCGAACCGTTTTTTAAAAATCGGCTCAGATAGGACTTTTTAACAACGACATTACTCAAAATTGAATTACTCGTTTTGGTCGTCTTCGAAGAAGAGATAACCTTTAGTCCTTTCAAAATCTTTAGGATCTCCAGAGCCATGTTCCTCCTCTTCTACTATAATGTTGCCATTTTTAGTCGAATTTTGGGAGATTCGCGATATTTTATCACCGTCTTCTAAGACCTCAGTTATCTGTATTGATGGTAGCAGTGGCTGCGAAAGATTTTGTTGAGATTTGTTATCACTAATAGATATTATGAATAAAACAATTTATATATATTTTCAAATGTATCTAGATACATTTGCGCTAAGGGGTATCTGATAATACACACTCTTAAAAAAACATATGATTTTTGATTATAAGTTTTTATCCTAAAAATTTATCTTGTGTAAGTTTAATATCAAAAATATTCTCGTTATTTATAATCCAAATTAACCAAACAGATCTGTAAAACAAGAATGATAAGAATTAAAATATTAATAAATCCAATATTAAATTTTTTTTTTTAAAAAAATCAGTTTGATAAATTTTATAATCAAAATTCAGCGCGATTTCATCGTTTACCTCAAATATCACATTAAAAAAAATTGCAAATAAGTTTTGCTATTAACTTATAGATTAATTATTTTTTTTTAATATCGCAATTATTTTAACTTGAATCACACTATAAATCGCAAAAACGCACAATTTGTTAATTCACAATAATTATGTCCCGCCTTTTGATATCCTATTTATTTACTTAAAAGGCTCTTCTCTTCCTTCTTCCTCCGAAGTCGAAGCACCCGCTTCCCCTTTTGCTGTTCCATCTACGGTTCTATAAGGCAAGTAGACTTTGCCACGCGAACCAATTTTTCTGACCACTCTCACACTTAGGGCCCCGCAATCTTCGTTAACTTTATACAAATCATTCTCTATGCTGAACACTCCTCCGTGATTATCGTCTAATATCATCACAGTCGCCGTTCTAGGATTATCCAGCTTTAAAATCGTAGGCGAAATCGTCAACGAGGGATTCGAAGAAGGCGAGTCTATGATGGCGTAAGTTTTTTGCCTTTTGTAGAGTTTGGAATACCATTTAGCGCCATTGGAGGGACCAACCCCTACATCTGCTATTCGTTTGTTTTTCGCACATTGTTTATAAATAAATAAGAAGATAGATTTAAAAAGTTGATTCTCATTGAGCAAAAAAAAAGTGTATGTAAGGGGTTTTCGTCATCAAATTGAACAAATCGAACTTATATTAATTATAAAACTATAGGTAAGATTTTGCTAAGGAATTCGACGCAATTAGGGCGGGGGAGGTGTTCTCCATAAATTCAATAGGTAATCTTTGTGAGCCACTTATTGCAAACTTTTGACAATGTGTATTAAAAAAATATTAGATTTGGTGGTTTCACTTTTTTTTTTGTTTATAAAAATATTTTTAAAATGTTGAAATAAGAATCATTTTTTACCAATTTTTCTTTCACGCCTCAACACTAACTTGGTAACACAAAACTATTCCCGTAAATTTAAATTTTTACTCTAGTATATATCATATTAATTTTATTAGCAACTTGCAATTATTACAAAATTTGAACGAACTAAAAAAAAAATGTTTTTAATCTCCTAAAATCACAAAAAAGAAAGAAAGAAAGAAAGAAAGAAAGAAAGAAAGAAAGAAAGAAAGAAAGAAAGAAAGAAAGAAAGAAAGAAAGAAAGAAAGAAAGAAAGAAAGAAAGAAAGAAAGAAAGAAAGAAAGAAAGAAAGAAAGAAAGAAAGAAAGAAAGAAAGAAAGAAATTTTTAAAAATTAATAAAATATATATAATCAAGTTGGAAAATAATATAATGAAGCATTTAAAATTTGTATTATCTTCAACAAATTTAAAATTAGTTAAGCAAAACTTTGAAGAATCTTATTTTAAAAATGGATGACCTTGAGAGCTATTTATTGGGGAAAAAATATAAAAGTTTCCTCATATCGTATATCAGGATTGTAAAAAGTATATACACTATGATGATTTTGATATTATTAAATTAATGAACTAAATAACTTTTAGTTTCTAGATTTTCTGCTGGACTAGAAGGGCTATGAGGGTCATCGGAAAACCTCAAATGTTTTAAATCAACGTAAAAATATTTATCTTCTTCATAAATTTCATCGTTGATAATGGGTACAGAAAAGATTGCCTCTACCATTCCTATAAAATAAAAACATATATTTTAATAATTTAAGGAAAAAATTATAATTATACTTAAATAAATTACAGATTCAGATTATGATAATGCTATTATTTATTAAAACGTAATATTAAGGCTACGTCTTCACGAGAAATTATAAAAATTATGCAAGTAGACAATTTTTCTTATTGTTTCTACTTTATTAAGATATTAGATTATGTCAGCAAATAAGTTCCAACTAAGATTATTCTGATATGATCGACTATTCGATCATATTCGAATAAGTTAAATTAGTCTAATATTTGAATTATGCGTTTCGATTTTATTCGTTTTATATAAATCGGATAGTTCTTTATTCGTAATCGAGTCAAATGGATAATTTACTAATTGGTATTCGTTACTATTCGACCTTATTCTAGGAATAAGGTCTATTCCAAAGACATATATAATATGTATTTAAATATATTTGACGGATCAGACAGATTTGATTACAAATTCAGTATACTATGTATATGGAGATGTAGGTAAAATATAATTTTCATAATATATAATATATAATTTGTTATTTCATTTAAAATCAGAAATTTATTACCTTCATGTAGCATTGTTAAAACGGCTCGATTTTAGCCCATTTTTTAAAAATGGCTAACTCAATATTGTATCTAGATAAATATTGCGCGCGCTTGAAGATTTTGTTCATAGATAACGCAAAGGGTTGGACATCTCTCAGCAAAAATTCTCAAGGTTTAGACAATATTTTTCTGGCTAAAATATTGAGTTAGCCGTTTTTAAAAATTATCTTCTAGTTCTTATTCATCTTATTTATCAATGTGACTTATCAAATAAAAAACAAGAATTCGAATCGAATACAAATGGTAAATTTTATTATTAGTGCTAATAAGACGAATCAAATACGAATCATGCACTATTGGAATTCTATTCGTGTTTGAATTGGTCCGCTATGGAATGTGTTAATAGAATCGATATAACATTTAAAATGTATTCTCTAACGATACATTCATAGGAATGAAGGTACAATAATTGTATCTGGGTAGGAAATCTGACTTTCTCATTTATATATATATAATATATATTTTCTATTTTTTCAAATTTTATGGATAGCCTTAAATTCTCTTAAAAATGAATTTTAGATGAATACGATTAAAGTTAAGAGTTTAGTTATTATATCGAAATATTTTATGGTTTATAAATTTGCGCAATTTTATCAAGTTTACTAAATTATATTTTACAAATTTTTCATATCAACAAATAAAAATCCCATCATGCTAAAATTTCGAATTCATAAAATAAAATGACATGAAGAGATTTTTGAGGCAAAATGAATGACGTTTTTTGTTAATGTATATAAATCGCCAAGACAGTTGCTTACATTCAGTAGCGTCACGAAGGCGGGGTGCGCGGGAGTTTGAGCCCCATAAAAGATTTAACGAGCCCTTAAAAAATTTTTTTTAGAGACCCCCGAGATTGTAAAGAGCTATTGACGCACTTGCGTACATATTTGACGAAAAACAAAATACGCGTATACGCCATTTTTTTTAATTGCTAGCTAACGCATGGTTATATAATTTATTTCATTAAAAAAAAAGCCATACATAATTTTTTAATGACATTTATGATACTTAATTAATCTGAAAATATTTGCATTTGTGTGAATTAATTAATAATAAATATAAATGATCCCTTTAAAACAAAAAAAATTATAATAATATTTAATGCAAATTTAAATTTACAGGATATTATAAAAGCTTATTCCAGTATTATATTCTCTAACACTCATTTTTAGGTAAAAATGTTTAAGCCCCGATAAAGCAAAAATTAGCGTTGTTACAAAAATTAGGAAAGAAACCTTTTTCAAAAATCAATGTGCCTTTAGTGAATTCGTAATCTTCTCCAGTTTTAGCGGTTCCATCCCTGGTATTGTAATCCACTTTAATAATGGAATTAAGCTCTCCACCTGATCTGACCACTCGAATTTGACTCTCCCCCACATTTTCCATGACCGTGTAATGGCCCGGTTCAAAATAAACCCTAGTTACATTTTGATCTGATAGTTTATCTTTTCCACTATCTTCTCCTGCCCCACCGTCTTCCTGAACGATAGGTGGTTTAATCTTTTTTTTTAAGAGATAATATAAATAATTACTAAACCACGTTCAAATTTTTTAAAATAGACTATATCATATTATAAAATATTCCCTTTTCGTGCATTTATCCTATAGTATTTTATTAATTAAAGTATCGTCACTGGGGATCATCAATTAATTTTTGTTCTTTGCTTCCATTATAAATCTAAAAATGATCTTGATAGGAATCTGTCGAAATTTTGGGTCAAATCGAAAAAAAATATTGAAGAATTTCGTTAAAAAAATTCGCAAAAAATTTTGATTTATTCACCTTAGGTTGACAATTCATAATCAATGGCTGGGATTTTGCTAGCGTTATTTTTTTGTTTTTTTGTAAATTTTACAAAATTTCAACAAAACAAAAAAAATAGCTAACTGCCAACAAAAAATGATAAGTATAAAATAAGAATTTCTACCTCAAAATAAACAGCAATTTTTTTAGCGAAGGTTCATCAATATTTGTTTTCGAGGGGGGGGGGTGAAGATTTGACCCACTCATTTCAACAGGTTCCTATGTAAGATAAGACCCGATACACAATACTCGCCCTAGAAATTAAATTAATTTTGATAACTAATATCTATAAAAATATGGTCAGATGTCGATGCTGCCAAATTTTATTTTATCATTTATTACCAAAAAAAACGTGATTTTTTTTCTTCTTAAGATCAAACTTATTTGCATTTTTACTGAGCAAATTTTTTTACCTCTTATTTGAGCAGATCAATTTTGTATTTATTATACTGATATCCAATTATTTTAACCCTCTAAATTTTAATTTTATACTGATAAAAATGGAAGAAAAAATACATAGTACTTTAACCAATGACATATAATAATATATTTGAAAGTGAATGAAAATCAGCTGGACCCGCCATTTTATGTAACCCGTATAGAAATTATTCGTATGTTAAAAAACTTCTATTAAATTGATAAACTTGCTTCCTTATTATCTCGATGATCAGGCAATTCTTTAATAAAGTTAGCGTCGGACATAGGAATAAATTGGCCTCTCGTTTAAAATTTTTAATAATAATATGGGTAATCAAAATGGCGTCACCAGCTGTTTTCATTTGATGTACACTTTTAATGAATGCATCGTCAGTCTAAGTATTATTATATGTCATTGACTTCAACAATAAAAAACCTGAATAAAAAAAAAATACCGAAGATCTTTAATTCACCGAAAGGAATGATACCTTTAAATCGGGACCTTTCTTATCGCTAAACAAATGGATGGACCGCTTGTTGAACTTCGACTTACTCATAACGTTATCCTGATTACTGAGTAATTTTCTAGTGGCTTGTATCCTATAATAAGCTCTGCTCTTAGGGCTGCGATTCAGGAAGTTGTAAGATGCCATTCGTTCTAGAGTTTGTAAATCGGCGTCCGGATTTATTTTTCTAGCCCTGCTTAGGGCTTTCATGTAGTCTTGCCTAGTTTTTTCAAATTCCACATAATCCCTATAAGCATTTTCGTCGAATAAATTTGAGACGGAATTACCAATCAAAGCAATGTCTGGAGACAGTGGTATATCTTCAGAAACCCTTTTGAGGAATGACAAAGCCCTGAAATTGGGGAGTGTCGATTTCCTCTTGGAAGACGCTAAATAGGATATAGATGGTCGCTGATTAATTTTTTCGGTTCCCAGCCCTAAACGGTCAGTTGTTTCGTAAACGGGGATAATTTTAGAGGTCCCATCCATGTACACGGATATCTTACGTTTGCCCCCAATATCATATTTGGGGGGCATTAACATTTGACTTTCGCCATTGATGACAGAGGGTTTACCCTTATCTGCTGGGGCTAGACTTTCCATTTCAAGCGCCTCTTCATCGGGAATGTAAACCACAGATTTTTTATATTTAGCATCATATCGTTTAGGAACCATATACCAGCGTTTGTACAATTCCACGTCAACCATGTAAGCCGTCAGAACGGTCAAAGGGAAAAAAAAGAAAGTTATCAGGGCTTCCGTGACACTTACCACTCCCGGACTAATCACTGCTAGAATTAGATAGAGCCATATGTAAGCGAATATACTCCAACTGGCTGTTATGAAGAAGACCCTCAAGTAGTGTATCTTTCGAAGTTGCGAAGAGGGAACAACTAAGATACAAATTCCTACTATGACAAACATGTTAAAAGCAGCACTGCCGATTATGGTTCCAGGCCCGAGTTCCCCAGCCTCAAAATTTTTGCCAATCACTTCAATTATGGATAGTAAAATCTCTGGGGCGGAAGTGCCTAGAGCCATGAGGGTCAAATTTGATACGGTTTCATTCCATATTCTCACGGTGATAATAGTTATTTCTTGCGTGGAAGGAACGCCAAAGGCTTCCAGATTTCTCACGGACCTTTTAATAGCCACCTCTTTTTCTTTAGACGTTATAACTTCGATGGCCGACATGAAACGATCGGACACAATGGAGACCCCTATAAACAAATAGATAAGACTAAGTAAATATACGAGTCCCCTCCCGATCATGGCCGTTTTGATTTGCCTCTTTAAATTCCACTTGTTTCTATTTATGTTTATAACATTTTTAAATGAGGTTTTGTTGTGATAAACTGAAGTAGATCCTATATCATTCAATTCCATCAACTCTCTCTGCATTTCGGAAATTTCGGGCTTCCACATAGGTATTATTATGCCATCCCTACAGGGGTTACCAGAAGGATCGCATTTGGAATATGATTTTGGTTGCTTATTGGGTAAGAATTCATTTTTTGAGATATCCCTAGAATTTTGCGCCAAACAAAATCCACTGAATACCAGAATAGTTAAGCATGTGTAAAGAATTGAATTTACAAGATGGTAGTAACAAACTGTTGAAATTGATATAATCATCATCATTCTTTACCCATAAATATTCAATTACAAATAATTCGATAACAGCTTAATGTTGAAAGACATTATAAAGAAATCAGAACATCCTTTATTACTATGTAAAAAAATTTTGTTTTAATTACATAAGATAAGTAAAATTATAACTGTAAAAGATAAATAAATAATATTTTGTAAATTATTGAATTAAAATTGACATTGATTTTTAGATATGAATGAAATGCAAAGGTAAATATTAAAAAAACGTAAAATTAACTTATTTGCCAAAAAAATTTTGAATTTCAATATTTTATTTTTTAATCTATTTAAATTAAATTACCTAAATTACAAATGTTTAGGTTTATACTTGTTTAATGTTAAACGGCCTCGATTTGAGCTTTTAAAAATGGCCTAACTCAATATTTTATCGATAAAAATTAGCTGTTTTTAAAAAATCGGCCCAAAACGAGCCATTTGACAACACTAGTTACGTTGCAAAATGTTATGAACCTACAAATATGAATCGAATAGGTAATTCATTCGTACTCCTATGATTATGATTTGTTTAATATTTTATTTAATTAGAAATATCTAATATTTTTTTAAAGGGTAAAAATTAATTATTAAACCTTAAAAAGGTAGAAATACATTTTAAAAAATGAAATGTTCAGCGAACAAATCTCAAATATTTACGAATATATATTTGAACAATTTCGAGTGTTCTTTACAAAAAAAAATCAAATAAAGCGATTGAATAACGAAAAGGATATTATTTGAAAGATAAAAATTTTTTTCCTTATTTTCGGATTAGATTCAAATTTTTCTAATTGAGAATAGTTTTAATAGAATTGAAATAAAATCTAAGCATTCATTTTTAAAAATAAAGATGTTATAATATATGATAGATCTGTTTTAAGCAAATTAATAATTTGGAATTAATTAATAAATTTAAGGAAAATGGGTTTATAAAATAGGGGCAAAAAAATAAATATTTATAAAAAATGTTAATTAAATGACATTGTATTTTTTTTTTTAAAAAAAACAATGTTTTAATTAATTTTATTAAAAGGTTACTAAAATAAAATGATTATATATCTATTTTTTATTTTTAAATCCCAGTTATATTAACAAAATCTTGTTCTTGTCGTGTAGTTCTGTTTTAAAGATCGATGGGAAAAGTGTCTCTTTTTGGGAAAATTATTTGGATTTTCATATCAACTAGGAAGAACGGAGTCGGCTGGAAAGAAAGGAAAAGGAAGCAGCCTTTGCCCAGAGTTTGGAAGTAAGGGAGAGGTTAGCATCCGGTTAGATAACGAAGTGAGGTTTGGAGTCTGAGAAAGGGAGGATAAAATGTTTTATTAAATTTAAATATAGAGTAAAACGTTGTTTTTACGGTTTTATGCTTATAAATTATTTTATCAATATTTAAATTATAACCCCCATGGTTCAAATTTGAAGAGCTGGAAAAAAAAATATATAACCTTTCCCTCAACTTCGCCAGTGAATAAAAATCTAGTAACTTGTGGCCATCTTTCTTATAAAAGTATTTGTTTATAATTATATTTAAGAAATTAAAAAAACGGAATGTTCCCCAAAGACGCCTTGATTTGTATGGGATAGAGATTTATCTTCTCTGCTTCTAAGTGAAAAAGCGCCCAATATTACTTTACTAACATTGCTCAATCCTTGTTATATTCATTTTACCATAAATAATTCTGGTATCACATTTTAGAAAGATGTCACAGGTCTCTTTGTTTCCGCTATATTACTGCTAAATTATAATGAAAGCTTAAAGCGGATCATATTAAAATACGATAAAAAGTAAATTTTTTCATTTTTATGATAGTAATTTTGTATATGTCGTATGGGGATTCGGAATCTCTCAATTTGAAATCATTTACCGAGGGCGATTTAAAAAATTTTAAAAGATTTGAACCGGAAACGTATTTTGGCATGGGTTGAGTACCCAAACTGTAAATTTCTAACAATTTTGCAATAAACCCTCAGAACTACTCCTAAATTTATATCAATTTTTATATGGGTTTTTCATATAAATTAAAAAAAATACCAAAATATCTATGGCTGAAATTTATAGGGTAAATAACTCTCCACGTGCTAAAATACATTTCCGGTTAAATCAGATCCTCGGTAAACGATTTCAAATTGAGAGATTCCGAATCCCCATACCACATATATATATATCTAATTTATATTATTTTTTTCATCATTAATTTGATTGGATCTCAAATATATAAATAAATATAATAATCCACTAACCTAAAAATATCAAAGATAATAAATTATTATTGCTTTAGTGCTTCTTATATTTTTAATTTCTATCTTGAATCACAATGTACCAATTTTAGAAATTTTCCTATTTTGCTAATAAAACTTATATATTTATACTCATCTCCCTAAACATTTTTTTTTTATCAGAATATTAACAATATAAAATAATCATTCTTCGCAATCGATAAAATTTAAAATAAAAACTATATTAAATTCAAAGTTATGCTACTAAACAAAGTATGAATTGAAGGGAGGGAAGGGGAGTTTGGGGGGTTTAAAATTATTTATCTGTATTTTTATGGAAAAAAAAAGAATTATTTGGTATCCATTGTTATTTTTATTCGGATTTTATAAACGAAAGTCTTTCTAAGAACATGAAATGTGTTTAGAAGCTAGTAGTCTTATGGTGGATATGGCTACTTTGGTAAAAATGATTCGTTGATGCTACTTTAACTGCCTTGACCTTGTCCAAATGGTTTATTTCAAAAAAAAAGAAATTGTTCTAAAAGAAACAGATTTCGAATTTACCCGGGAAGATCAATTGATATGAGAAATTTGGGAAGGAGAATTGTTCTTAAAACATTTAATGAACTTCTATAACTATCTTATTTTTATTATGCTAAAAAAAATATGACTAATCAATCTTTTATATAATATTTGGGATAAGGATTCTCTGGTAACTCATTTACTAAGAGGCAATTATTAAATTTCAAAAATTATATTTGACTGGAAAACTAGACAATTTTGGCCATAAACCTTTGTGTATTTATTTTAATTTTGGAAAAATCTGTATTAAAAAAAAATTGATATAAATAAAAGATACTTCATAAGTATCTATAAGGCAAAATTTTCTGAACAGTCGTTGGAATATATTTGCGGTTAAATCATTTTCAAATTTAAACGAACCCTACGATGCCATACCCCGATACGACGAATGCACTGATTAAATATTAATTTTATAGATATACTGAAGAAATAATTACTGAGAATTTCGGCAAAAATATTGGAGGTTTTAAAGTATCCACCACCATAGTTTTTTTTATGCTTAATTTTTTTTTATAATCCTCAATATATTCGTTTTTTTTTTGAAATTTTCAAGAGCCTTGATTTGATATCGTTCCAACTGATATTTATATATTCATCTACATTACAACACAAATGATTTGGAAAAAAACTCACTTTATTTTCATATAATTTTATACCATTTGATAACTTTATGTGATTCTTTTTTATAATTTCTCATCACATCAATTTCTTTATTGAGAATAAGATACCATGCCAACAACCCCGTATACACGGACGCGGGGTTACGATAATATGTCATCATTCCACGAAGCATGCCTACTGTTTAATATTCGCATACACGCCATTAACCACATTAACGCTAAAGAAGTTTTAGCCGTGGGAATAGGAGCCATCATGGCTTTACACAAGGATAATGAGCATCCGATGATATTTACGGACTCAACAGTAGCTTATTATTCTTACAAAAAGGGAGGATCCAGATCCCCCTCAATTGAAATTTTCTTAACCCAATTTCTCCTCAAAATTGGCCTTCAGAATTTCTCAGCCATTTCACAGAACATAGATCCCCACAGATAAAAACCCTAGCGATGAGCCATCTAGGATATGGATGGCCCATCGCGAAAACCTCGAACTCTTCTCAGGGCCTATTCTTCAAGCACCTTCCATCCTACAGGAGAAAAGGGAATCACTATTTGGTCAAGAAACGATCCCATCAATTAGCCAAATTCGATCGAACTCTACGCCTTCATTAATATCAGGGTTATTTATTTCTCCAAGTACAACCCCCAGCAACACATCAACAATTACGTATCACTGGGACGATATCAGCACCACATCAGCTGACTAACATCAGATCTAAGGTTATCGAATCAAAACAAACAACAGAATCAACAATAAAGTTATTTATTACTATAAATATCATATATTACTAATAGTTTGTCATTATTATCGATTTTCTTGTATACTATTCTGTGTTTTGTTTTTGTCGTAAATAAAGCCTTAGGAATACCAAAGCCATAAAGGCCAAGATATTAGGCTATATATATTCTCCTAGGGGAGAATATGATAAGGATATAGTTTATGATAAAATTTTAAAAATCTTGACAAAAGAAATTCGACTGGTAAATTTCGCAACCTTTGGGTATAACATAGTTATTTGGTATAATTTTCAAAAATGTTTTTTTGATCAAATTTTCACCTAAAAAAAATCTTTCATCATGGAAATCACAATTAATATTATATAAAAATGATTGATCTTCTTGAAATTTTCAATTTTGTGATCTTCAAATATTTTTTGGTTCAAAATTTTGGACAAAAAAATTATAAAAAAATTGAACAATAAATTC